TAGCATAATGCCATCAGGCCTCTGCTACCATGGACGAACTTCTGCTGTGTTAAGGTGTGTGTATGTGCATGTTGGCAGGGCGCGTGTTGCCTGCTCGTGTGAATACAGCTCTAAATACAAACAAGACGAGCACGTCGCGCTTAGTTAGGGGTTTGGGGAAATGTGATTCATTAGGGAGGGGAGTCAGAGGTTGGATGATGAGCTCCTGCAGGTTTGGAGTGAGAAATATATTCATGGTAAGAAAGCAAAGTAAGCAATAAAAGATCAGATTCTCTCTCTGTGAGGGAACGGGACACCGACAGGATTAAGTCGCGGGACTATTCCACGGCAGAATATCCTGGTCAGCAAAGCATATTTGCAGATTTTTCCACCTCCCACACACAGATCTACGTCACAACAGGGCGCCGCATGGATCATGTATCGGGATTTCCAAATCAGCCATCTGAATCCCGGCCAGGAAGAGCTATTTCCAACAAACCGTCTGTGCAAAGTGTGACTGAGTTCCCTCCGCCGAAGGTCACGATCGCTGCTTCTTCGACAAAGCAAACCAGTCAATGATCGGGAGGCAACGCGCTATTAGCAGACTTACGCGTGGAAAACCTCATCTGTGACAGGACAACAAGATGAAACAGAACAGCTTCCTCCAGTTGCTAATTGAAAAGAGAATGGAGAGCTTCAAATGAGAGGAGACGCGCTGCATAACAAATAGTTCCCAGCGGCGGGCCTCCCCAAGTCACCGCGCGCGAGCAAACGGGGGCCGCTTCAGACGTCCGGATGAAACGATCAAAATCGAAAAAGCACCGCCGCCGTAGCAGACGCGATCCGCGCTCTCTTCCTTCCATCATGGAGTCAGGATTTGTGTTTCTATTTTGTTTTATGGTACCATCGTTTCCCCAAACTGTTTCCTTTATGCGCCTCGGAGCCCGGTGAAAAATGGCAGAGAAGCTGTATATCTTTCAACATCAAAGCTAATCTGCAGACACACACACACACACACACCCCGTTTATGTGCTGCTGTGCGAGCCATGTAGTTGTACTTCATTCAAAAAAAAAAAAACGGATATAAACTCTACTTGTACGTTTTTTTCACTAGGAAGCGGTTCAATACGAGGTTTTAATCCATTAAAATAGAGTCTGTTGTAAGTAGTCGCGCTCCAGTGGGTCCTGATGCGGCGTAATGCGCCCTCAACCGAGCAGCTGAGTGGCGTGACGACGCCTGCTTCCCATAACAGGCAGCAGCTTGGGAGCCGGGCGGCGATCGGGAGTGTGCAAATGAAGAGATTTTAAACCAAAGTTATGAAAAGCAAAAGCTGGCGTTCGGAATATCAACACGGAAAAGCGCAATTTGATAAAAGCTTTTCGCCTCTTTAAGGCTTCAGCTGTTGTGTGGAAAATGTAACGTTACAGTTACGTCTCGGTTTCAGAAAGGAAAGTTGCTCGTGAATACGAGAATACGGAAAACCTTCCTTCCTATTTGATTGACAAGTGTACAGCTTTCTTGCTATAAACAGGTACACCTCCTCCTCCTCCTCCTCCTCCTCTGCTTACTAATGAGCCGTGAGATTGACAGCTGGATTAACAGGCTGGTTTGTAATCCTTTAAATTTCTCCATTTAAGATAATCACTCTCTGGATGGGGCGCTGCCTTCAAACACACGCACAACATATACTGCGTTTGCATATAAACAAAAACAAATGTGTGTTCAGGCGAAAAAAAAAAAAAAAGAAAATGTGGCAAAAAACAAGCGCATGCAGGCGACCTAATCTAACATGGATTCCAGGCTGAATTAATCCCCAGGACCCAGCCGAGCAGAAGGTGCTCTCTGGCGAGGGGCCCTTTTGGATATTGGAGTTTGTAGAACAAAAAAGGCATCTTGACAGTGAAGCCTTTTAATTAAGGCAGCGAGGAGGAGACGAATCCAACGCCTTGGAAGGATCCGCGCGGCGAGTCCCGCCCAACGTAGATCATTCTGATTGGGCCGTGTTTTTCATCTCAGCCGGTGCCGCAGATTGAGGACATGAGTGTTGGAGAACATGAGGGGGGGGGGTCGGGGTCAAGTGGCAACGCAAGGTCAAACCTCCCGGGCCGCGATTCATCAATAAAGTGACACTTTGGGCGGCGGAAGAATCCAGCCGGCGAGAGGTCGAGGCTCGCTGTAGATTCTCGGCAGCTCGTCGCACACCGTAGGACGAGCGCGTGGCGATCGGCCTGCTGGCGGCCTTTTTAACGGGGGTTTGATGGCGTTCAGATTGGCCCGTTTGTGTTTTCGGCGGGCAGAATGCTCTGTTGGATGAGATGAAACGCTCCTTTATTAGTCCCGCGGCGAGGAAATGTGTCTGTTAGCTCGGCTCAAAGGGGAGGATTTGATGAGGAGTTGGCCGCTAACAAAGTAATTCCAAAGTTGTCCTATTGATTTGTTGTCTTCTTAGCAGGCTGAATACATTAGCCGCCTTAAGGCCAGACTGAATACTTTATTGCCATATCAACGTGAGACAGAAAGAACATAATACATGCAAACAAATGATAGAACAGGTAAAATAATAATAAAAGAAACCGAAACAAACGGGTCAAATCCAATACATCAGAGCACCTCAGATAAAATATCAGCACCTGATGAAGTGCACCTTTCAAACGCGTGCTTGCTTCGGTGTGGGACGGTGACGCTGAACGATTCGCGGTGCCAGTGGTTTGTCGCCGGCCAAGTGGTGGGGGGGGAACTAGCCGGTAATCGTCACATGGAGTGAATAAACGCAAAACGTGGCCTATGCAGTGTGTCAATTCTGGCTTTGTATCTCCAAATGTAGTTTATTTCTTGGAGGAAGAAAGCTGGCAACGGCTCAAAGCCCGTCGCCCCTTTGAAGAGGCACAATTCCAGACTGATGATAAGGGAAATGGAAAATTTGTTCAAACTGAGATTACCTTCTGACAGTTGGGGCTTGAGTTCTCGCTCTCTTCTTTTCACTTCCCCCTTCAGACCGTTGATCAAGCAAACCAACCTCTTTCTCCGCCATGTTAATTGTATTGATAATTAAGCAATAATCCACCTTAAGACTCGATTTGTATTCGGTCTAAAGTCAATCCTCGGGGAGGGAGGGGAGGGGAGGGGGGGGGGGGTGGGGTGGCTGAGCCTTACAGCTTAAAAAGGTGAAGCTGACTTCACCTTTTTTTCCTGGTGGGGAAATTGCTCATTTCTGGAGCGCGACAGCGGAAGCGACGCGGCGACGATGAAGCCCAGCGATCGTTAACGGACATCGAGATGCTGAGCGCTACTGCGCATCGATCGCGAAGGACGGCGGCCAATTAAAAGAATAACTGATGCATTCACAGAACACAAGGCCGCCGGCGCTTGTTTCCCGCGATAAGGCTGCTTTTCGCTACCTTCTTTCATAGTGCATGAAAAGAGCGGCATCCATCAGGAGGGTTAAACTGTAATTTGCAGGTTTTTTTGAAAATGCCAAAGAAAAAACACTTAAAGCTTCTTTCCTGATTTTATTTTTTCATTGATTTGCCCTTGTCTCAACTTGTGAAGTACAGTAGTTTCTAGTTGCTCCTCCACCGCCCTGTCTTTCTTATCCTTTAATCCTTTTCCAAGGACTCGCCTTTTTTTTGGGCTTCCTCCTTTTCTTCCCTTGTAATAAACCCCCCCCCCCCCCCCCCTAACTGATTTCCACCGAGAGATAAAACCAGAGCAAAGAGCAAAGCTGGTGTCGCACGTCAGGTAAATCCAACCAACCAGGACACGTGTGTGTCTGTGTGTGCAACATGCCTAATCCCATACACCCTTGCCCCCCCCTTCAACATAAAACACACAGAAACGCGGAGGAGGCACCACATATGTTATCTCAGCGGACACATCACGCCCTGTTAACAATGTTTGGGTCGGTAAAGAGGAACTCGACTCGTTTCCAAATAAGGGCACAAGCGCGGCGCGCCGAGCCCCTTCGGGCCGACTCGCCTCCCCCCTGACCGGCTGCACTGTCCTTGTCAGCCTCTAAATAACTAAATAACCTTTAGAATAAGCCAATTGTTTCGCCCCGCGGCCGGAAAAAACTGCTCAAACCGCTGTTAAAATGAGAAGACCATTTCCTCCTGGCAAACCGCATTTCACCTAATAATAGACAAATAGCGTATTAGGCCATCAAGGCAGAGAGTCGGGGGAGAGCCGAGGTTATTGTACAGTGTTGAAGTGTGAGGAACGGTGCAGAAATAGGCTAAAGTGCAGAATTAGCATAATATTGGGCTCATATCAAAAACCAGGTTATGAAAACCTGCAGACGGATGAAGCGGTCTTCATCCTAGAGGTTAAAATATAACGTGTTCTATGTTAACGGCTAAGGTCAGGATGTGAACGAGCGTGATTTTTGTTATTTCCAGTGTGGAAAATCCACACCAGCAGACAGGAGAGACGCGCGGAACGGAACTATGGCCCGATTTCAAATGGCAGGAGATGAACGTCACAGTCCGCCGTGGAAGGAAACAAAGCCAATGACGACAGAATTCAATTCTCGCCTAAAACAGGAAGAATGAAAAAAGGCCGGATCATCTATCCCACCCAACAGTGTCAGTAAAATGCTCAGTTTTGGGCAGCTGCAAACGTGCAGCGTCGGGACTGGGCCACTTAAAGGATTCTGCTTTGTCAGCAAAAGAAAAGGGGACGTATTTGAGGTTTGTTCTCCTGCAATCAGCGTAATTTAGTTGTTCGTCCATGAGTGAAACTCCTTATCGAGTGTATTGCACACCGGCTGTCACGTCGCGTTTAATCACATCCCAAGATTTGTTCAACCCGGCATCATCATCATTATCATCATCATAACAACTGTCTCTTTCTGCTTGAACACACGCACGTCTGTGCACAGGATGAGCTGCTTATGTTCCAAAGGGTCCTTTTACCGCGTTGTGTCTCCATCACCTTTTACCAGTGATGGAGACGCTCACTCACACCATGAGGTCACATCTGGACAAAGCGAGACGACAACATCAGGCGATGAAGGCGGGCTCACCTTTGAGAACGCTCTTGCCGTGTAGAGCGTCTCTGGAGACGATGACCGTGTAGAAGTTCTGGGAGAAGCCGGGTCTGCACGGGGCTTTGAGGGTCTGGCCCGCCTTGCTCCCCTGAGGAGGAAAAACAAGTCGGGTTGTTAAGCTTTGAAAAATCAAGTGCAGCCACAGGGTCACAATCTGATCTTTGGAGCCCGATATCGAACTTGCGGGTCTCTCCGGAGTCGGTTCGAGCGTTTTTGTTTGTTTTTTTGGTGCAGACGTGACGGCACGCAGCACTTTCACAGTGTGCGATAGCAACAATCCCCACTAGCGGCATGACACATGACGCCCGTAT